TTTTTGCTCTATCACACTAACTTCCTAGAACTTTTCAGATTTATGTCAAATACCAGTTCACTATGTCTTTCTAATTGCAGAAGACATATATCAAGCTCTCTGAGTGGTTTCTTTGAAGAAACTCCTTAATCCTGGGCTTGAGGGCAGGTGAAACAAGGGACAGAAGGTTATGCAGAACAGCTCATTTCAAAGAAATCCTCTTTATAAACTTCTCTCTAATTCTGATACCCACATCCTTTTAGACCATCAGGGTGGGTAAGAGTCAAGTAACCAGTTTGTGGATGACTTCTTTGTAAATTATTTATGTGGTCTCACACCACCTTTGAAATGTAATATTTATTATATCTCGGTGTTGTCACCCTAACTTTATTTTAACATTTTCTTATAGTTACTTGAAAAAGATTTCCAAAGCAAGGCCCTCTAAGTTCTGAGCAAACAGTAACTTTAGTGCAGCTTTGGCATCACAGGGGCCAGGGTTTGACTCCCAGATCTGCCACTTATTTCTTCTGTCTGAGACTTGCGTGATCATCTCTGCAATGATTCTATTAAGATACAACTCATGTGAGGTGTAAGCACATTTTGACAATTCTATTCCTCTTTGGCAGTGATTTCCTACAGTGCCACATCACCCAGTTATAGCTGGTAGTGTGTAAAATAATGAAGTCTGCTTGGGGTTTCCAAGAGAGCTCTCAAAGGTGAAGCCTCTTTCCTTTGACACTCTTCTCTCCTTTTCCTAGCTTGGATGTTAACTATGTGAGGACCTGATATCTGGGGCTAAGGCAGCCATCTCATGACCAAGAGGAGATAAGCCCAAGGACAAAAGGCCACTTCACTTAGAATAGTGGAAATAAGAAATTGGCAGAAGATTCTGGCTGATACATTGAACCAAACCAGAAGTGCCTCTTCCAGGATTCTTAATATGTGTGAGAGTTAAATGTCTTTATTAATCTGTTACTGATGGTTAAGTATTTTACTTGCAGCCCAGAGCATCTTAATAGAGTGGTTATAATTGTATGCAGGGAAGGGGTTAGTTCCTAACTTTTTCAGATAGATTAAAAAACAAGGCTGAGAGTTAAATAAATCCCTAAGCCATGCTGTTAATCAGTAGCAGATAGAGACCTAGCAACTCATTTCTAGTAGGTGCTAAATATTTATTAAGCACCTACTAAGTACAAGTCCTTAAGAGGTATCTTTCCATTTCTAGGCCTGATGTGAGGAAAACAAGTCGGCAAAGTGGAAAGGACACAGGCATTGAATCTACACACAGGCCCACTTGTGCCACTTAATCACCATGTGATTTGAGACAAGTCTCCCTCCTCTGAGCTAAGTTTCCACAGCTGGCAAGTACAGTTGTGCTGACCCAGCAAGGTTGTGACAAGGATTTATGCAAAATTAAGTAAGATAATGTCTATGAATCCTTTTACAAGATCGTATCCAACCTAGCCTTTTATAGATGTCAACAAAGTGGTTGGGTTGGGACTGGCTCCCTCAAGGCTGGTGAAGGAGGAAAGAATTCTGAAAGGCAATTTAGAGTCTTTGGAGAAAGGAGAAAAGCCAAACAAAGCCCATCTGGAAAATTCTTTATCCCAGGTGCAAACTCAGGGGCCAGAGGCCAGCTCCAAGTTGATGATTAAAGTGGTAGGTGGGACTGGGGCTAGAGTGGAGTGTTTGGAAAGTAGGGTAAATACAGTTCCAGGATGCTGGCTAAAAACAACCTCAGAGTGTCTCTGTCTTGCTCTTGTTGCCACTGGGTCCTGGATGTGTGGGTGTGTCCACCTGGTGTAGAAAGCTGATAAGGCAGATGAGGAGCTGAAAAGGAGATGTCTCCTCCTTTCCATTGTTGGGGTAGGAGAGAAGCAACACATCTTCTTGGAAGGATCTCTACTGGAAAGTAGGTGTATGCTTTGGGAAACAAGGAGGTTAAAATAGGCTTCATCCCTGAGTAGAACAGAGTCAGTGTTTGGATTGAGGGAGAGTGTCCTAGGGACATCTTAGGAACTGTGGGCGGGGCTTGGGTGGCCAGGATTAGTAGGCATCTGTGTAAGTCTGGGCTCCCTGAAAACATTCTGTGCTAGAGATATCCATGCAGGTGATTCATTGGGAGTACTCTCAGGAACACTATCTATAAAGGAGTGAATAAGCAGATTTGGTAAAAGAGAAGAGATAAACTTCAGTATAGTGGCAACAAAGGTCTCAGCCAATCCAAACAGAGCTCTGGAGTCGGGAGCACCCTTGAGGAAAGGAGTCCTTTCTCTCACCAAGCGTTGGATGCAAGCTGTCCAAGGAGGGGTGTAACCTTGGGTAAGGCAGCTTCCTTTGGCTGAACACAATCCTCAGAGAGACACAGCTCTGAGCCTTTGGCAGTCACATTCCCTACAGCTAGAAGAATGAGTGAGTTGGTCTTGTGGGGGAGATCTGGATGGCGCATCACAGCATCCACTACGAAAACCCAGCTCTTGCCTCCTGCTAACCAGTGTGACCCAATACAAGGGCTTCATAACTAGTCTTAGCCCAGTCTTCCTTAAGCCGTGTAAATTCATATGTAGTTGTTGGTAAAGAAACAAACATGCTTACAATTACAATGTTTTTGTGCAAGTTCCAGAGTAACTGGCCTGCCTGTCAGTAATTAGTATCTCCTCCTTTCAGGAAAGCATTCTTCCCAAGCCTGGGCTTGAGCCACCCTCCGCACCCTAAGCCAGCTCCCAGACAAAGGGAAAAGCAAGAAGAACTCTATAGCAACCAAGATACGTCAATGATTGTCCCCATACCCACAGTTTAAATGAGTACAGATCCTCATTTAAAGGCACACATCCATAGATACCAGTCAAATATAGGGGGAGACATTGAACCTCACCCTACCTATAATCCGGGAAAGATTATCGCTACTTCTTGGAAGATCCCACTCCTTATTAAAGAACCTTGGCACTTTATGTGATTTTGAGGCACACTTATAAAATGGTCTAAGTTCTAGTACATTATCTTAAAAAGGATGGGTATTAAAAGCCTTGGCTCAAATTCTTTCTCTCTATCCAACTGTCATCATCATAATCAATAAATGCAACATATAATACAGTTGACTTCTAATACTGGTTATTACCTATTATTTTGACATTAGCATCTGAAATACACCTTTAATGAGTTACTACTATTTGTCCTATACTAAACACTTTCTACATATTTTTTTCTTTTAATCCAGGCACCAGCTTTATCAATTAGACACAATTATACACCCATTTCACACATGATGACATTGAAATGTAGATGAGGTGGTTTGCCCAAGCTCATGTAGCTAGTCAGCGACAGAGGAACGCAGGTAGATGGATGTCAAGGCTTGAGAAGCTTCCTTTTGCAGCACACTGATGATCACCCAACCCTACACCCCAAGAAGCTAATGAGCAGGACATGATTAAACAGCCTGTGATATAGAAAATAGAATACCATCACACTTAAAGAAATTAAAAATAAACAGACAGACTTAAGACTTTTAAAAAAGTACGTAAGACCCATATTTGAAGATCATTTATTTATCAGCTGCTTTTCATTTCCAACATCATTTGATATCATGGATGACTGGTGCAGATCCTCCATCTGAGGCACATGGGACAGAGAATCCTAACATCAATAATCTTTAAATCAAGAAAGTTTACTCCATATGTTCCCAACATAGTCCAAAGCCAGAAAAGTTCACAGCTCTACATTAAAATGTTAGAAAAAGATCACATTGCAGCAGCTGCTTATGTGGATTACCTAGTCTAGCCATTCTGCTAAGACTTAAAAAAACCTGTCTGAGTTGTAGGAATTAAAAAAAGCAAGCCTCTAAAATATCAAGTTGGTGCTTGTTGGTAAAGAACTGTGATTTCCCATTTGTTGCCCCAGAAGACTCAGGTGTATCTGAAATAAAGTCACGATGTTTTTCCATACTCTTAAGTCAGTGGAAGGTTTTGTTTCTGTACTTCTCCTCACGCCCTGCCGCCCCAACTATGCTGTCTCCAGAACTATGGTTTCCCTTGAATTTTAAAATAGAAATCCTTGAAATGTTTTGCAGTGACTCAAAGCATGTTAGAATATCTCAGTTCTTTCTTATAACCATTTTGTGTAACTTCCTTTAATACTTTATAAAGAAATAAGATCAAATGAACTCTGTCCTCTACTGATGTCTTATGAGTAAGAACTAGTGATACTATCACTGTGCATGTGTGTCTGTGCACACACCTGATTGCTGTCTTCAAAACCTCAAAGCTTGGTCTATAAGGCATGGTCTGGTCTCCATTTTACAACTGGGAAAATGAAGTACAGTCTTGAAAGAGCTCTTGGAAAAAGTGTATTGAGGCTTTTCAGCTATCAAGTTGGACATCTTACTGAGCTCCCTATGTTCCCATTTTCCTCCACAGTGCTCTGTTCAACAGCGTTGGTTTCTTGCCTTTCCTTTTTATTGTGGTTATTGTTGGGCTTAATCACAGTAAAACAATCAATGAAAGTAAGTCGGACAATAGAATATTTCTTTGTATGGTGATTTTAAAGACCTGATTTCTGAAATCATAAATTTTGTTCAGTATAATCATCTAGACTCAGAGGTGGAGATGATATTCTTTTCAGGGTTCAGAGATTTGTTGAGAAGGGAGAGAGTGTTAGGGTTCTGGCTCCACACTACTACATTTTTGTCATGGGAATAAAGTGAAGGTTAAATTGTTAATCTAGTTTGAGGATGTTTATGAAAAGTTATGAATTATTTGTAAAGTATCTATAAAACTGAAACAGAGGTCATATTTCTCATCTCGTTGCCTGTAATTTCAGAGTACTTAGGTTTCTGTTGTGAAATGTTTTCTCAACTAGAAATCCCAAGTTTCCTTATACATGGAGAGAAGTGGCATAAAAATATACACAACTGATGCCACTTCAAGAAAGACCAATGAAATTCATGGTGTTGCTCCTGGAAGATAAACAGACTAAAAAGAGTCAGTATGCAGATCTCTTGTTTTACCCTTTGCATAATTTATTGGTTAAGATTTTGTTTGGCCACACGTAGCCTACACTTGAACTACAGTGGCTAATGAAATGGGTTGATTTTTCAGACATAACAAGGACAGTGGAGATAATCATTTCCAGTCAATGTTTGAGGATGTTTCAGCGTCCTTCATTTTTCTAGCTCTGCCATCCTTAACATGTGGCTTTCATCTTCATGGGCCTAAGTTCCACATCTAGGCATCATGCTCACATTTCAGGCTAAGGATGAAAAGCAAAAAACAAAAGGCATATGTAAGCTTATTCTGTCTCTTTTGTGAATAAAAATAATAATAACTTATTATTTTTAAAGTTTCCCAGAATCCCATATAATAAAGTTGCTTTTATATCTCATTGGACAGAACTGGGTTGCATGACCATAGCTAGCTGCAGTGGAGTTGGAGGAGGTATTTTAAAGTGGTAATATAGCCACCCTGAATTTCAATTTTTGTTATTAAGGAAAAAGTAGAGAACAGTTAATGGGTGGGAAGCAAAAATTAGGAATAGGATTAATGCCTGAGGAGAGGGAAGGACATACCTTTTCTTTCCTTCAAATATTTATACTAGATGCATTATGTAAGTTCACATGTTCCATCTTCCACAATGTTTCTCTTCACTCTATTTCCTCTGAATTCCTATGGCATTTTGTTCTTTACTTTAAATAATGTCATTGATCCCATTCTATTCAGGTTAGTTGTTTACATGCCTATTTTTCTCATTTAGACAGTAAACTCCTCAAATATAGAGGCAGCATCTAATTCACCTCAGTAATCTCATCATTCACTACCATGACTGGCACACCACTAGGAACTGAAAGTATTACTTGAATAAATATATGGACAAAGTAAATGTGGTAGGTTATGATCCTAAGAAACAGACTCTGAGATTCTGGGGTCTATCTACCTACCTCTTCTCAAGACTTCCTTAAATCCAGTCTTCTATTCTTTCTCTTTTTAAGCACTTGGCCATTCATAACCTTTTACCTTCACCTGCTCCTCTCACCCCAAGATTCTTCATGTACCTTTACCGTGGGCCAGTTTTTCTTTCTACACAAAGTAGATGTGCAGCATCACATGAAATCCTGTCTTTTGGAAGGGTTACCTCTCACCTTGAGTAAGATTATAACACAGCAATAAGCCAGTGTTGGCTTGTACCACACACCAAGATGACTCAGCTGTGAATAAAGCTCATTTTTTTTTCTTCCTTAAAGATTTCCATCCCCAGTGCAGCCAAAGCTATAAGCTGAGGGACAGGTCCAGATGCAGTAGTTGTGGATAACATGGGGCTTGGCTATTTGCTCAGGCCACAGTGTACTTTCTGGCCCTGCTTATGCTTGACCTTTGAAGTTCCACTTCTATCATACGATTTTGATTTGATGGATCTGGAAGAACTAGGACGAGTATCCTGATCCAGTTCACACTCAGGGCTGGCTTCATGGGGTTTGCAACCTGCTGAGTTGCATAGGTCCCTATGCTTAGAGGGGTCCCCAGCTTGGTTTAATTCTATGCCATCATCACCCTGAAATTTCTTTTTTTAAGGAACAGGAATTTATTTTTTATATTGAGGTACATAGAGTAAAATGCACAAATCTTAGTGTACAGTTTGATGAATTTTGAAGTGTATATATTCATGTAACAATTGCCTAGGTCAAGGTATCAAACATTCTCACTAATTCTTTTTCCCCTTTACCTGATTCTTCCCTCAACACCCTGTCCCCTATGGCAATCACCAGTTTTCTGAGTCTATGAGTCTATTTCTGTTTTACTTGTTCATTTGTTTTGTTTTTACATTCCACATAGAAGTGAAATTACACAGTATTTGTCTTTCTCTATCTGCCTTATTTCACTTAGCATAATACCCTCTAGGTCATCTGTATTGTTGCAAGTGGCAAGATTTCATTCTTTTTTATGGCTAAATAATTTTCCATTTATATATGTACCATATCTCTTTTATCCATTCATGTGTTGATAGATAATTTAGGTTGCTTAATCTTAAATTTCTTAATAATTTTATCTTTGCACTATATTTTGTAAGTGATGTCCAATGGGACAATGGAATATGTGCACAATAAGCAGCAGAGGTAGGTGCAGTTTGCATGTCCATCATGCTTTGCCATTTCATCAGCACAAATATTTGCCATGTTCCAGGAACACAGAATTCACCCAGCATACATGGAGTTCAGAAAAATGCAAAGCAAGTATACAATAAGCATTTTAAGTTTGCAACTAAGGAGTGGGGAATGGGATCACAGAAATAAAGAGGTCATAGGTTTTTTTTCCAGTCCTTCCTTACTCATCAGTAAACTGAAGATGGTGTTAGTAGAATGTACATGTATCAAGAAGTGAAATGAAAGCAGTTGAGTTATTTTTGTGTAGTGTTTCCTCTGTTCTGCTAAGAATGAAATACAGATGCATATATGAGCTAGGAAATGCGAACTGTGTCATTTCAGTGTTCCTGCATATGAGTTGAACAGTCTTATATTTCCACTTCAAACTGATATTGCACAATATGAAGATGACTGGTAAGATTCATGCTAACAATTTAACATTTTAATTGAGTACAGCAGACAGCAAATAAGAACCCCATGAGAAGTTAGGGATGGCAGAAGAAAGTGAAAGAGGTTTATATTTTAGAACCTTTGGCATCCCCTTTGTCCTTTTTTTTTGAACAAGGGCCCTACACAATTTCAATTTTGCACTGGGTCATGCAAATTACATAGGTGGTCCTTCCACCACTGTGAAGTTTTTCACAATTGTGTTGCATGCAAAGAGCAATCAGTACATCATCTACCACTCATCTTCCTTGCTTGCCAGTCTGTGAGTGATTCAGCTCCAAAATCTTATTTCAGAATCTGTTTCCCATGATAGCATATAAGTTTGGTTCCTGGGGGAAAAGCTCTGAGATGGAGTTTGCTCCTAGGTGCACCTGGGTATCATCTCAGGACTATCTGTGAGAAGTAAGGGAAGCAGGAAGTCAGAGGGAGAAGTTGCTGTATAATGTCATTGCAGCAGGAGCTTTGGATGACATGACAGGGAGTTCTAGGGCTAGGATGGTCATCAGAGTTGTCCCAGGTGAAGCAAGGGGCTTAAGCCTTTTACCCTCACATTGTTCAGGCACTGGATGTGGGCTGCACCCAGCGGAAGGGGTCATAACTTCTGGTCAGGCACTGTCTTCAGCTGAGTGCTGAAGAAGATTCCTGGAGAAGTGCCTAGTAGTAAGCCCCGGCAGCCAGCACTTGCAGCAGCTGGGGAGTGAGTGCCACAGCCTTGAAAGAAGTCCGGGCAGCACAGAGTAGCATCCACTGAACAAGGCTTGTGCAGCAGCCTAAACAGGGAGGTACTGGCACATTCCTAAAGAAGCAAAAGGTTTTCTTTCAGTCTTCCAGATTTTAAACATTCAGACAATGTAGAGCAGGCAAGAAAAATGCTGCTGTCAGGTACACTGTATAATTACTAAAAATAGAAACAGGTGGTATCGGCTTTAGTACAAGAAAAACTAGTACTTTTAAGAAAAAAATAATCCCCCACCCCTGCCACCACCACCATTTTTGTTCCAGTGATTCATGTTCAAAGCCTATTCTGTTTAGCCTCTTGACTTATAGAGAAATGTGGAAGCTAGCATACTCTTTTTAAAAAGTGTTACCTTTGTCACTCTGTTACAGTAGAAAACAAGTGGAACACATCAACTGTATAAGACAACTGTTGGGACTCAGAATCCAAATGTCTGCAGTATATTATGCAGTTGTTGAATTAAAAATAAAATATTTTCCTTATATTGATGAGATTACATGAGGGCTAGGCTGAAATGGCATATTTCATGTGTGTGTGTGTGTGTGTGCGTGTGTGCGGGTATGTAGGTTAGGGGTAGAATGGAGGGGGCACACCTTACAGGTTTAAACTGGGCAGGCCCAGGGTAATCATGCTTGGCCTGGTTCCCATGGTACAAGCTTGTACTGGGCCATGAAAGATGATGCTTGGCCCTGGGTGTGACACCTGGTGCAGGGGCTGAAAGGAAGGCATGCCTTGTCACGGGTCTTCCTAGATGCTTTCTGGATTTCTTCACCATTGTCAGAAGCTTCTTTTAAACATGCGAATCATGTGCATTGCCATGGCACTGTTCCTTCTGGGAAGTAGCCTGCCAATTGTTCTTTCTCACTGGTGTGTGTAATCCTGGGTAATGGGGAAGATGGGCAAGAAGTCAATTTTTTCCCTCCACACAATCAAGAACTCTGTATTTTTTGGTTCAGAGGAAAAAATCAGGTTGGGCAGTGAACAGAGTATCCAAGGTTATGGTGAGAGCTGGGCCCTAGCTCTCTCTGTTGGCCTAACTGGTTCTGTACAGGGAAGTAGGGTCAGAAGAAGAGGTCAAACATTCTGGGGAATGGAGGAAAGCTCAAAGCACTGCTTCAAATAGAAAAGACAGGCTGAACTTCTTAGATCCTTTTTAACTAACTTTTCTTTCTCCAGCTATGGGCAGGGGGCATCTTGGAGAATGATATTTAATCATTAGTTATAATCTTATAAAGGAACAGAGTATTGTTTTGAACCTTGAAGCTGACTGGTTCCATATATATAGCTAAGTAGAGCATGAATTGCCATTAAATGAACTTGAAATAGAGGAAAAATGCTTCATGAGTTGGAAAGAGATGCTGGTGCATTATTGCTGATTTTGAAAGACCAAACTTGAACTAAAGTCTTATCATCATGAACAGAGCAGATTGTCCATCAGGGAATCCAGTGGAAGACAGCACCACAGAAACTCTGCCTGGTGCTTACATACATCTTTATTGCCACAGAAATGAAATTCTGACTCAAGATTAAAAATTCTCATTAAAGTGGGAAAGATTTCTTCAATGCCTCCTTGACAGGGCATTCAGCCACTGTACTTTTTCTTCATTGAATACTGTCCCCCCTCTCACCTTCTAGTTTTTCTAGCCCCTAGGAAACAAAATTACACAGCCTTCAAGATGCCTTCTCTTCCCATAAAACAATAATCACATTGTAAATCCCCAAGTATGCTGCAATAGGTGTCTCTCTGGTCCTTTATTAATGCCGCTGGCATTTGTCTAGCTTTAGAAAAGCTTTTGGCTCCATGTCCTACTCATATTTTTGGCCTATAGCTTGCTAGAGTTGTCAGGACAAGTAAAACATTTCCCTTTCAGCATTCATTACAAGTAAAAAAATCCTATTGTATTTCTTGAAAGTGACTTGTGTCGCATCTCC